CTTCTATAGATTAGCAAAATATTTCCATCAGAAACATAAGAAGAAACACATAAAACACAAATAATCAGCAAATGCAGATGTTTTAAGACCAAGAAGAAAGTGTTCATGAAAATGAAATGTTTTAAAGGAAAACATGAAAAGGTGTTTAAAAATAATTTTGATGACTATCGAGATGACCTAAGGGGATGAAATGGCCTATAACTAGTAGGAAAGGATAGAAAAAACATATGATTGTTTTATGAAAATAAGAATCTGCTTATTTTAAGTCGATGAGTTTGTCACGCATGATTATGGGCACAAGAGATGATGTGCTGTGAGCCCAGAATTAAATCATCTTTTACTTCATTCCTAAAAATCAATAGGCAGAAAGCTAAGAGGAGGTTCTTCTTTAATCAACCAAGATGCTAAAATCATGGAGAGAGGAGGTTCTTCTTTAATCAACCAAGATGCTAAAATCATGGAGAGAAAGACAAAAAAGACCACAGCAGCTAAGTCATTCAAAAGAAGAGGGAGAGTTGATTACGTAGAATGAAGTGGAATGAAGATGCTAAGTAGGATTAGAAAAACATGATACTATTACAAAGGGTTGATTGAGCGAACAAAATGGATAATAAGGCAAATTAAAGATTGTTATAAATCCTGTGTCCAGGAAATGAATTAACTGCTCAGACTAATAAATGAAGAAGCATCACACAGAAGACGATGATTGAATGTCACCATGGGAAAACAGAAGGTTCTTGGTTTATAAAACCAACACACTTAAAAAGAAGAGAAGGGTGGGGGCATTTGAAACAATACTAAGAGGCTTTACCAGTGAACTGAAAAAAAAAAGTAAACAGTGATGGAAGGACAGCCTTAGAAAACACCTCAACGATACAAGATTCTTTAAATATCTTAAAGTGATTGTGGGAGGAACATCTAGAAACTTGAAACATTAAACTCGGGTTTATTTTAATTTAGTTTAATTTTTTGGTCTTGCCTTCATGACACCAGTAAAATGTACCAGAAATGGAAACAGTGTCAGAGAGTGATAAATTAAGAGCAATGAGGAATTCCCTTCCAATAAATTAAGATAACTCAAGAAAAGACAACTCCTGCGTGGGAAGAAAAAGCTGCAGTGATTAATACTGCCTTCGTGCAGCATTTGGATGGCTCCTAGGAATCATAAAGATACCTAGGGAAATCAGAGCCAAGTAAATCTAGTACCTTTCAAAAAAAAAAAAAATGGACTAGGGAGGAAGCAGAGAAATGCTAGCTTTGCAACTCAGGAGCAATTGAAGTATATAAAGTATAGATAAAGCAACCAAGGTGGAATTACCATATACCTAGAAATATATGAGTTCAGCAGACAAAACAGTCAAATTTTAGGAAAAGTGATCTCTTGAATAAAATTCTTATAGAAGTTTTTAGGCTTTTGAATTTGGCCACTATACTAGAGTTTATAGAGAAGATGAATAAATGGACATTTGTTAGCAACAGCATCATAGTCTGCCAACAGCATTTATTAACTAACATCATAGAATACAGACCGATAAGGAAGAGTTGGATTAAACAATCCTCTCCCCCGGAGGTGCTGGCATCAGTGTAGATGCAAAAGTATCCATAAGCGTAGGCATCCAATGACCAGAAAGCTAGTGGCATCTGTCACACAAGCATTGTATGATTGCAATGCATTGTATGCATGAGCAAGAGAATCTCGATCTCAGATTTATTTAAACAAATAAGTCATCACAGAAATAGTACCTATGGAGAAATCCTAGAAGAGGTTTTGGAATGAATGGTTTGCTGGGCAGGCAGGATGTTTCTGATACAAGAAGAGCCTCTAAGAAGGCCCATAGCCAGGAGTGGGAAATAGGTTTGAGGAATCATGAACAGGGCTGAGAGAGCATAATATAGTAAGTATAATAAGAGCATAATATAATAAGAAGTGATGGGGAAGATTAGGTAGCCTAGAGTAGGAGACGGATTTGAGCATGGGCTTTGGAGTGAGACAACCTGCTTTGAAGCCCAGCTCCATAGTGGTATAATCTCCAACCCCATCCCCACCCTCGATCTCTCTGCACTTTGGTCTCTTCATCTCGAAACTGGAATTTTAATAAACTTAACTTAAGGATTGTGCTAAGAGTTAGGCGAGATGTTCTGTGTTCAAGTACCTAGAAAAAATAAGAACTCCAATATTAGCTATTGCTGTGAATGAATGGTAGTCAGTCTAGGTGAGAACACCTGCCTTCCTCACTTCCTTGGGGTCACCTCTTTTGACTTTCTGCTGCCTTTTCAAAACTTTTACACTCTCCAAGGACAACAGCCCTACCTGGCTCTCTCTCACTCTAACAGATGGTGGGAAGGACAGTTTCACTCTCAAGTTCCCTGTTCTCCCCTCAAAACACACTCTTCTTAGCCCCCTCTACTGTTTCTGAGAACACAGTGCCCCATTCCCGGCAACAGAGAACCCAACTGTTGACGGTTGATCTCCAGCAGGTTGGTGCTCCATCAGTAAGCCCATTCCTCTCTCCCAGCTGCAGTAACTCCTTCCTGTCAGCCTCCAGCCCTGCTCAAGTCTTCTCTGGCTCTGTCTATTTCTTCCTCCAATGTGCAGAGCCAACACCACCCACTTCTTTCCTTCCCTGCATAAATAAAACTACCCTGTCTCTGATTTCTACTCCCCCTTCCTCTGCTGAAGCAGCTGGTTTGATGGCCACCAAAGAAGAAAGTTTTTCTCCATCTTATTCTATTCTAGTTTCTTGTGATTCTGTGTTTACCTCTATTGATGGATTGTTTTCTCTTTCCTGATGGTTCCTGTGTAGTCTTTTTCTTTGCTCAGGCTGTTCCTGTAAGTATCTCCAGGGATTCTAGACTTGGCTGGTTCAGTTTCTCACACTGTACTGAACAACCTCATGTAAACCTTCAAGCCCATCATTTATCATTTTTTCCCAGGCTACAGTGCAGTGGCCTGATCAAGGTTCACTGCAGACTTGACCTCCTGGGTTCAAATGATTCTCTATCCTCAGCATCCCAAGTAACTGGAACTACAAACACACACCACCATGACTGGCTAGTTTATTTATTTTTCTGTAGAGACAGGGTCTCACTATGTTGCCCAGGCTGGTCCTGAACTCCTAGCCTCAACTGACCTTCCTGCCTTTGACTTTCAAAGTGTTAGAATTACAGGCAAAAGCCAGCACACCTGGCCATTATTTATCATATCTCTGCAGGTCATTCCTTGACTATCCTTCTGAGGTTGGAATTTCCAATTGCCTTTTGAAATTCTCACACCATTGCCTTTTCATTCATTTATTCTTCCATTCAAAAATATGTATTGAGTGCTACTGAAACATGTTTAAAACTATCTAATTATCTCTCTCCATCCCCACTCTCATCTGCATTTTGTCCTGTCTTTTCTCTGGGTAAATGATATCCTTTTCTTAGCAGCAGAAGCTAATTTTATTGCTCTTTGCAATCTCCCGAAGTGACTTACTATCGTGTCTAGGACTAAATGGGACTCCATAAATACTGTTGAATTATATTGAGCTGAAATCATACACGAAGTGATAGACAGTTATGAGAAGGATCTTAGAGGACACGTGTCTTTTCATTCTTTGGCAAAAACACAAATAGACTCAGTTATCAATTAATATCTCTCTTGCACTAATTTTACTTTTAGCATTAAGATTCTAAAATTCTACACAAGTAGTACAGAAAATTTATGTAATAGGCCTAAAAACATTAATTTTAAAGATGGAAATAGAATTGTTCATAGAGAGGACTATCTTTTTTTTTTTTTTTTTTGAGACGGAGTCTTGCTCTGTAGCCTGGACTGGAGTGCAGTGGCCAGATGTCAGCTCACTGCAAGCTCCGCCTCCCGGGTTTACGCCATTCTCCTGCCTCAGCCTCCTGAGTAGCTGGGACTACAGGCGCCCGCCACCTCGCCCGGCTAGTTTTTTGTATTTTTAGTAGAGACGGGGTTTCACCGTGTTAGCCAGGATGGTCTCGATCTCCTGACCTCGTGATCCGCCCGTCTCGGCCTCCCAAAGTGCTGGGATTACAGGCTTGAGCCACCGCGCCCGGCAGAACTTGGATATGAAAGATGAAGTCTCCAAAGCTAACTTAATTTGTACATGAAAAGTATCAAGAATTGAAAGCTGGCTGGGTGCTGTGGCTCACGCCTGTAATCCCAGCACCTTTGGGAGGCCAAGGTGGGCGGATCACGAGGTCAAGAGATTGAGACCATCCTGGCCAACATGGTGAAACCCTGTCTCTACTAAAAATACAAAAATTAGCTGGGCATGGCGGCATGCACCTGTAGTCTCAGCTACTCGGGAGGCTGAAGCAGGAGAATCGCTTAAACCTGGGAGGCAGAAGTTGCAGTGAGCCAAGGTCATGTCACTGCACTTCAGCCTGGTGACAGAGCGAGACTCCGTTTCAAAAAAAAAAAAAATTATTATTGGGTACTAGACTTAGTACCTGGGTGACAAAATAATCTGTACACCAAACCCCCATAACATGAGTTTACCTGTATAACAAGCCTGCACTCGTACCCCTGAACCTGAAAAAAAAAAAAAAAGAATTGAAGGCTGAAAGCCAGAAGGGAAGTGAGAAAGAGGAGCTCAGGGCAGTGAAATGAAGTGGAAATGTTGTCAGGGAACTCTACAAAGAGAGCTGATAAGTGGTTAAGAGTGACCAGGTGACTTTTAAACACAGGGATGTCCCATATTTGGTTTTAAGTTATTGATTGTGCAGTGTTGTAATTCGATCTAACTCCCATCCTATATCAAATTATGTTTACCTAATTAAGACGGTTCACTAAAGTGATTTTTCCTGAGCAAAGAAAGTCTGCTGTGTGTTCTGACTTACATTTTTAAGCACCTCTCAGTCCATCACCCAAAAGTGTCAGATGGGTTCCACCTACTAATGACCAGTTATGCTATGAGATGATCTGAAAGATGATAGAATGGCTAATAAGGGGAGTAGCAAAAGCCTGTCACACAATGAATGCTTGAAGAACTACCAGTGTCTGTCTGACTGTGGCTATCGCCCTGCATGGCCATGAGATGTGCGTGACTCACTCCGGAGAGGCAAGCTCCTGTACAAATTGACCGTTCACGGTCTTAGTTCTGAACTGCCTTTCTGGACGCTTCTTTCTGTTTCTCTCTACTTTTGACGCTCTGAGCTAGCAAGTCTGATGTCCTTCTGTTCCCTAGTCTAGGTCTGGGCTTGATGTTCACCAATTTTCCCTCAGGTCCGACTGTGGCTTCTCTCAGCAGACTCTGATCCTGCTCTCAGCTGGGCTGCATCTGCCCATCTCAGGTAAACATGGCTGGGCCTGGGCAAACTGTGGGGCCTTTCAGCTGGAGCTGCGCTCCTGTGCGTGGAACACCTGGCTGGTTTGGTGCTTGAATTAGACACTGGGAAGGCATAAGCTGACATCGCTCTTCCTTCAAATATTTGGAAGGGGCAGTTTTCCTATTCTCTATGGCCTTGAAGCAGAGAATGAGGAATACTGGGGCACTAAAAGGACTGAGTGTAACTTAAAACAAAAAGGCACTTGACAGCAGCCGGAGCTACCACAGCGGTCACTTCCTCCTCACTGAAAGGGCTCCAGCAAAGGCTGGATAACCATCAAGTGGGAACACTCTGGGAATGTTTGCAAAGGGAGCCATGCATCCTACAGATAATTTTACCAGCAGGTCTTCAGGTTCCTTCAGCCCTGAGCTTCTCAGATTCCAAACTTTTATAATTATTTGAGTTAAAAAAAAAAAAGTCAGATGCAGCTGAGCGCGGTGCCTCACGCCTGCAATTCCAGGACTTTGGGAGGTCAAGGCGGGCGGATCACCTGAGGTCAGGAGTTCGAGACCAGCTTGATCAATATGGTGAAACCTTGTCTCTACTAAAAATACAAAAATTAGCTGGGCATGGTGGGGTGCACCTGTAATCCCAGCTACTTGGAAGGCTGAGACAGGAGAATTGCTTGAACCCGGGAGGCGGAGGTTGCAGTGAGTTGAGATCATCCCACTGCACTCCAGCCTGGGCGACAGAGCAAGACTCCCTCTAAAAAAAAAAAAAAGTCAGATGTTTGACTAGAAGGGACAAGTCATAACGAGAACCACTGGAGGGTCATTCGCGTGCAGTTGTTGCCAAGGAGGAAATTAAAAACTGAGAAACAGGAGAATTAAAATCTAAGTTGGGAGAGGGGAACCTCAGATCCCTTCTGAGGATATCGTTAAACTGTCTTGTGTTTTCTGTGCCAGATAGAGTAGTTTAGACCTAAAGAATGTCAGCAATTTTCATCCTCCCACACAGCTACTTTATAATAATTAGTTTTACTACTTTTTTTCACAAGCTATTACTTTAATTATTTTAATTAAGTTGTTCATGCACTCGAGTTGTTTACAAGCACTTTTCTTTTTATAGCACATCGATAAACAACAGAGGCAAACTACCACCTTGGAGGAAGCCAGGCAGTGTCTGCTGGGCAGGACGCAGCCGGGAGCATGGAAGTCGCTTCTTCCATCCTCCACTGGAAACCACCCAGCATCCTGGGCCCTCCAGAGAGGAGCCAGACTCCCTCTGGCAAGAGACTATAGTCCTATCTGTATCCTCCGTGGTCACTGCCCCTCAGTCACAGCAATGAAGAGCAAATTACCTGTTTTCTGTATGTTCCTCCGACAACAACTCACACAGAGTAAATATGAAAGGTTCTGGATGATTCGTTGTCAGCTTTTATTAAAATTCCACATACTTGGCGTTTCTTAGCTATCTGGGTTGACTCCTAGTTCCACCCCTTACTAGTTGCGTGACTTACCTTCTCAGTTTCCCTTTCTGTCAAGTGAAGGTAAAAGCACCAAACTGGTAGAGTTATTTTGAGAATTATATGAATTTCGAGTGGGAGGGCGCTAAGACCTTGCTGATTAGAGTGGTTTTTCAATCCTGATCGCCTCCTTCTCCCTCTTAGCTTCTTTTCTCCTCCCTCTCATGCTTCTAGTCTAGGCTTCTGGCAATTTTGACATAACAAAAGTGGGATTCCTTCATTCTTGACTTCATTCAGGGCTTTTCCTTACTTCATTATTGCATGATCATTCTCAAGTCTTTCATTCTCATTCTTTACATAAATACAAAAAGGAGAAAGTGAAATAGTAGAGGAACCAACAGATTTGAAGGAGCTGCCACTATTTGATTCCTCCTGTTAGGACATCTGAATGACCCCAAGTTCCTGTTCTTAAGGCTGTTGTATCATATTCTTAAAAGCTATGTACACACTCTACTTTGAATGTGTCCCTCATCCTCATTCTTCTCCACTTGCTGGGGGCCATCCCGCCCCAATGGGAAGGTAAGTTCAGGCTCAGAGGGAAAGACACGACAAAGTCCTGCTCTTTTATTTTTGTTGTCTAAAATCATGTTTCGTGCTCTTCTTTGAACAAAATCCAGGACTCTAGAGATGCCCTGTTACTTTTCTTCCAGCAAGTCTCTAATTTGCTGAGGAGTAAACTTGTAATGAAAAGAACCTGGAACTCCCCAAGGCAGCTCCCCGCTCACAGTCCTCAAGGTAGAGGTTCTTTAGAGCAGATTCCAAGAGCCCCATCCTTCCTGTGAAATAGGGCTGCTAACTCACCACCTGTTAAGTATGATTTTTAAAAATACATTTTTTTGTTAAAACTTTGATTAATAGAGACAGAAACTTTCACTTCAAGACCTTTCCTATGATTAGATCTAGAGCAGAGACTATTTAGTCTACGTTTGAATCAAAAAGTTTGCCCTTGACCTCATGAATTGTATTGTTCTAATTAAAGTGATAGCTGCAGTATTAGTTTTTATATAATTTAAATAACCAAACTGAGACTGCCCACTTAGGTTTTCAAAAGGAATGTATTAGCACCATCTTGTGACTATTTTGGTACCACTTACAGAACAAAACTTTCAGCCTGGCGCTTGTGTTCAAAAGGAATCTTTTGGTGCCCTCTTGTGGTATGTTACGAACTGAGAGAAACAACAAATACAGAATAACGCCTCTGCTCTTCCTCTGTCATAGCTATTAGTGATTCCTTGAAAAATCACGGCTATTAATAAAAATAACTTTTAGTAATTTTGCTTGTAAGTTAATAAAGCAAATTACAAAGCAAATATAGGTAATTTGCTTTATTAATTTACAAATATAAAGTGTAACATGAGAAATAACAATAAAGTCTCATTGTAACATCAAAAATGGAAATCAAGGTGGGAGGCTGAGGCGGGTGGATCACGAGGTCAGGGGTTCGAGACTAGCCTGGCCAACATGGTGAAACCCCGTCTCTACTAAAGATACAAAATATTAGCCGGGCGCGTTGGCATGCACCTGTTACTTAGGAGGCTGAAGCAGGAGAATCGCTTGAACCTGGGAGGCAGAGGTTGCTGTGAGCCGAGATTGCAGTGCCACTGCACTCCAGCCTGGGCAACAGGGCAAGACTGTCTCAAAAACAAAACAAAACGAAACAAAACCCCACAAAAAGTTAAAGCTGGCCAGCCAAAGAAAACATAAATTATATTTATGCTATTTCCTCACAGCAGCAGCACTTTGGTTCATACATGAAAATGCCCACCCTCTTGGTAACTAAGCTTTCTACACACTAGGTGCTGCTCTAATTTTGTCACATGTGCATTCGCACCACAAAGAGGTAAGCCCTCTACCACAATCCTCATTTCCCGAAGAGAAAACTGAAGCACGGAGAGGGAACTGCCAAGGGCCAGTGACTTGGTCAGTGGCAGAGCAGGCAGGTGAAGCTGGGACTGACGGCCAGCCACTGCAGGAGCAGAGGGAGAGCTTTCCCCTCATTTCTCTGAAGGTTCTCCGAAAAAGTCAACTGGCAAAAAGCAGGTTAACTGGAGAAAAGGCGTAAACATCTATTTAACGTGTCTACACGGGCGCCTTCGGAATGAAGACTCAGAGATACAGGGAAACTGACCGTTTTAGGGCTTAGGTACAGCACAGTATGGGTAGCCATGGAGACGAAAAGAGTATGATCCAATGCTAATAGACTGAATGGGGGCGCCCAGCAAAGCCTGTCTGTCTGGATTCTTCTTGGCCTCCCGAGCACCATTCCTTCCTTCCGGGTATGGGGCAGGACCCTGTCTGGAATGGGGGGATCATATGACCCATAGTCAAACAAGGTGGGTAAGATAATTTATTTATAGCCGTTTTTATATGGAAAGTGGAGGGAAAATTAAAGTAGTATTTTTCAGTTTTATGACTAGCTTTGGGGAGAAAAGGTTCTAGTTTCTATGGCCTGCCTTGGGGGCAGAGGGATTCTAGTTTCTAGGGCTCGCGCAGGGGCTAGCACTGACAGGGCGGAAGGGCAGGAAAAGGTTTTGCTTCTACGGTGCTTCCGAGGCCTTCATTTTGAGGTATTGATTTCTGAGCCCCAACACACCCCTACTTCACGCTACCCACGACTGTGACTTTGGGCAGGATTTTAGTGTTTATTGCCACCTGCTTTTAACCTTCACTGTTCTTATAGCCCTTTAGCAATGTCATCTAAGCCCTTGGTAAACAGTGGTGTGAGTCCTGAAAAAAGCACCTGAAAAGCCTTTCATTGGAAGTGGACTTTAGGTGTGATACAATTTGAAGTACAATATGAGAGATATTGATAACATCTCATTTTAACCTCTAAAATGGAAACAAAGAAAATCCTTCCCATTTTTTGGCCGGGTGCATTGGCTCACACTTGTAATCCTAGCACTTTGGAAGGCCAAGGTGGGCGGACCACAAGGTCAAGAGATCAAGACCATCCTGGCCAACATGGTGAAACCTCGTCTCTATTAAAAATACAAAAATCAGCCAGGCGTGGTGGCATGCACCTGTAGTCCTAGCTACTTGGGAGGCTGAGGCACGAGAATTGCTTGAACCCAGGAGGCAGAGGTTGCAGTGAGCCAAGATCATACCACTGTACTCCAGCCTTGCAACAGAGCGAGACTCCATCTCAAAAAAAAAAAAAAAAAAAACCAACAAACAAAAAAAAACAAAAAGAAAAGAAAATCCTTCCCATTTTTTTACATTTGTTAAAACCACAAAATCTTAAAGCTGGCCAGCCAGGCAGTTGCCATAATATCTGTGCTGTGCATTTAGGAGAAACTGCAGGCTTTCTCAATGTTGGCACTATTGACATTTTGGCCTTGAGAGTTCTGTGTTGTGGGCGGGCTGTCCTGTGCATTGCAGGGTGTTCAGCAGCACCCCTGGTGTCTATCCAGTCAATGCCGGTAGCACCCCTCTAGTCATCACAAACAAAAATGTCTCCAGACATTGCCAGATGGCTGAAGACGGGGCAAAGGAGAGGCCCCAGATTCTCCTAGATTGAGATGGAACACACTATGAGATAATTGAGAAAAGGTAAAAATTAAAATAGCATTATATGGTGTAATGTTAATTTCCCCAAGTTGTCCTAAGGCAGAGAAAGAGGAATTGGAACCATGAAACATTGCCGTTGGCCTAGCTGAAAGATCATTTCCCAGAAAAGTACCATGAAACTACCATGTTATACATCATGCAGGCTAAGCTTGCAGCCCTTATGTTGATTCCTCTGGAAAAATAGATCTTGAGTGTTCAAGATTTTCACGATTGCATTGTATGATCACATCATAGAATGTGCTATGTTTTCAGAACATTTGAAAGATTTACTCTCATGATTTCTTGACCTTCAGGTTATCTGTGGGCTCAGACTTTGAACTTAATGTATTATCTCACTTAGTTTTCTCTGAACCCTTCTTCATGGGCTCTTCTTGGTTAATAGTTACAATTCCTCCTCATATTTGGCATTAGGTCAAAGATTTAAATAACCTCCTTCCACATACAGAATCTTCTAAGAGTTTCCAAGTACAGCCTCATCTCTTCCACCAATATTTACGAATGTCTCACTATCCTAATTTAAATATTTCACAATTTCACCCCTTTTCGTTACCATTTTTTACCTGTTCCTTTTTTTCATTATCAGAATTTCATTCAGCACTCATTTGATAGTCACCTATTTATATTAATATAAACTAATATTTATATACATATTTATGTTAAGAGCCAGGAATACAAAAAGCATTAAGCTGGTCCCTAAGGAGCCCACCCGCAGTCCAGTACAGAAGAGGAGTACAGGGAAAAACAGGCGTTTGCCAGGCCAAGGGTACCCTCGGCAGAACGAATAGCATATGCCACGACCAGAGCTGTGATTGGGTCTGGTTCCTTTCCATTCTTGCCTCTGGTGTTCCCCAAAGACAGAGCTTTTTCTCTCTCGCTATGACAGGCAGGGCCACCACATCAGGAAACTCATTTTTGTAACTACACCATGGCTTTTGTTCCAGGCTCTGCCCTTCCTCCATTCACCCCTCTCTCATCTGCTTCATTCTCCCTTTCTGCTTCATCACTGTCCTCTCTGTCTCAGCCCACCCTCATCTCTTGTCCTATGGCCATTATCACTAGTCAGGCACAACCGGCATCTGTCCTAGAATCTGGCAAGGGCCTCCTGACTACTCTTGGCCACCGTCTGTCCTCTTTGCAAACTGCCTGAAGAGAAGCTATGTGACATGGATTGCAAGTCACTTCCTCATGCCCAGCTGCAGGGCAACTATGTGGTATTTTCAGCCTTGCATGGGATGTAAGCTCTGTGGCAAGGAAGCAGTGGGGTGGGGGTGGCAGTGGCGTAGCCACTAAGTGTAGCCACAGCTGAAAAGCCAGGCCCCTGTCCACGGAAGACCAGGTTGATTTCCTCCCTTGCTCTCATTCTCACCAT